AAAAAAAAGAAACACCACATAGGACAGTGCCTAGCATATAGCCCACCTGAGAAAATGTTGGCTATCATCTTTGTTAATGATATTGTTATCACAGCCTAGTTAGAGGTATATCCCCTTACCGGGGAGACACAAACATGAGATTACATTTCTTATCCTCCTGCTGCTGCCAAACTTTTGGAAACTTTGAGGCTCGAGAGCTGCAACGTAGGCAGGTGGTTAGACACAAAGAGGAACTGGCAAGCTCACAATGGAAACCATTTGGCTACTGATAAGCATGAACCCACTCCCTGAATTTAGGTCTGGGGATTATGAGTCACCATAAACAGCTCTGTCTCCCGCAGGAGCCTGAGAAAGCCAGCGAGGCCCTCCTCCCCGCCAGATCACAAAACAGGTACTGTTCTCTGCCCTGTGCTTCCAGCCAGGAGCAGGACGTAAACAACAGGTTAGGGGATGGGCATTTACCTACACAACAGCAGTGAGGCTCTTAGAGCTGGCCGGAAACCATCTATATAAGCTTCGGACTTTGTTATTCAAATCCGTCTTTACCTTAAATTTTAAAAATGCAGTGACTAAACTGGAGAGCTATACCCTCAAACAGTGGAGATGAGGGTTACCAAAGCAAAACTCCTTTAGGGTCGGGTAAGCACCATAAATGAACAGATAGAGCTGTACAGGCCTGGGTCAATACAGAGAATGTGGACCATTCCATGGGGTGATGCGACCCTATTTATAGCCAGATCTCGACTTTTTTCCCAAGGGAAGCCAAAAATCTAGATTTTAATATATAATATAATCTCTCCAGTTTTAAATGTAGGCATTTAATTTTTAACATATTTAAACCATTAGATCAAGTACAACCAGGTGCAGGCTCAATGTGGCATTCCGGCCACCAGGGGTCAACCTTTGGTATCTGCAGAATCTTTCTCATACAAAGTTCCACATGGGGCAATCTAGGGTACCCCAGACGGTTCCGAGATTCTGTAAAACTCTGACTCAAATTTCTTTTTCTCCCTCATAAACACAAACACCCAGACTAGCCTTAATAAGAGCCATAATTAAAAGTACAGGTTGAAATACCTCTTAGGTGGAATTTTACCACAGTGGAAACCATCAATGAACGGGTTAATCTGCTGGCAGGTGAAATAGTTTTTGTGCAAATATTCTTTTTTTAATTTTTAATATTATTTAATAATATAGACGGGGTCTCACTATGTTGCCCAAGCTAGTCTCAAACTCCTGAGCTCAAAGGATCCTCCTGCCTTGGCCTCCCAAAGTGGTGGGATTACAGGCGTGAGCTACTGCTCCCAGCCATGTACAAATCTTATTTTCAAACTTTGCCTG